TGTTGCGCGGTTAGCCCTATCAGCTTTCCGTGGTTCTGATTCGTAAAGAGTGAGTATCCCTTGACACGTTTAATTCTGTGGTTTCTGCCTATTTGCACATTTACTCCAGCGAAGCACTTTGGTGTTGAGCGAAGAAGGGAGTGTAAGCCACGTTGATTGAATAGTATAGTAGTATAAGTTGAATTGTCTGTCATCCAGCCAGTTTGTCGAATTTTGTAGAAAATTGTCGCTACTCAAAGAGCGCACAAGTTAGTAATCTTAAGCAAACTTTTGTAGTAAAGGAATAGGTTTTTGTCCCTGGCCAGTGTCATCGCGTTAATCAATTTTTTTGTTTCCTTATATCGATTATTGCAATTTCCACTTCGAACGTTGGTTTTAGCTGCATTAGATATTTTTTCTTGACAGTAGCCCAATATTATCCACGCTCGCTATGTCTACACCATCTTGGCCCAAGAATTCTATATCATTCAGGTAGTCTTCTTTCAGAATACACCATCAGAGGACGAGATACATTTACGATCTTTATTACAAACGTGAAGCTATATCTAGGGAATTGTACGAGTTCTGCTTAGCTACAAAGATCGCTGATGCACAACTCATAGCAAAGTGGAAGAAACAGGGATATGAGAATCTGTGTTGCTTGAGGTAATCTCTTTGTGCTATTCCATCCTTTGCTCTGCTACATTGGTGACAATATTTAGGTGTGTTCAAACGAGAGACACTAATTTTGGTACAAACTGTATTTGCCGTGTGCCAAAAAGTAAACTTGACGCAGACAGAGTTATCGAATGTGTGCACTGTGGTTGTCGTGGCTGTTCTGGATGAGGATTCAAAATAGCGATTAAATTTTGTTTTGGACTGTTATTGTCCTTGTATAAAGCATTTGGAATTTATTACTTTACTTGTTGCCAGTTGTATCACCCTATATATTTTTGAAGTAAAGGTTATATCTGAAATGCTTTCTACGCTTTCCCAAAATTAGCAGGAGATGGAAACAGACTTCTTTCCACAATTCTCTAAGCACAGCTATTTCCCGCAACTCTGTGATGGTGTTTCGTTAGAATACGAATCTAAAAGAGGAAGGCACATTGTGGTACGTAAATTATTTCAAAATTTCGCCAAGTTACATGCTTTTAGAAGCTTCAAAAATGACTTTATAGGCTAACCGTGACATTCCTTGCGGTGAATTAGTATG